TGGAAAATTTAAGGAGTTATTATTATGTACGTTTAGATGATACAACCGGTAGGATACTTTTGCACGTTACTGTATATGCATATGATTCGTACAACTGTCAATGACACAGGCTTAATATGAAACAATGATGAGAAAAACCCTCCATGTTTAGCCCGTCGTGTTTACAACAACAACAACAATATTGCAATGACGTTTTGTGTTGCAATTTCTATGGTTTTAGTAAAAGTTACAGCTGCATTATTTTCTCCCTCAAAAAAGAAAATAGGCATAAGGGTAAATGAGGGTATTGTGGCAAACGATAAATATTGTCGAACTTATAGATGAAGTATCCCCTTTCTTCAAATAAATACATAACTCAGACTCACTGCCCCTAAAAAATAAACAGCTGTTTACTAAATGCGTGATGCAAAGTAACAAACTCACTTTTTGCAGCAATTTCATCGGACATGATGTTGTCTACGCCTACAACGTATTCCTTTAAAAAGAACTCCAATAAAAGCAGTCTTTGTTGCACTGCTTCAAATTTCTCGTCGCTCGAAAGATCTTTTGATAACACAGGACCCGAGAACGGAATATTTGGACGTAGACTTTCGTAGAGGGTTGTCCTAACTTTGTGGCGGACGCGCGGCAGATTTTGAATCAAACCCCATGGATTCATTTCATAGGAGCCTGTGAAAAAAAGAAGAGAAATCGATATAGACGTTTAACAAAATACGCACGCTTGACAGAAAAGCAGAGTAATAAATCCAAGGAAGTGGATAGAATTTCGTTCACGTACCGTATAAGAATAGATAGATTCCCATTGCAGTAGCGTAAATACCACCCACAGCACTGAGGAAATCACTCACCGTCAAATCGCTAATATTAAGTAGTTAAACATATGTTAGCATAAAAAGTATTTATTAACATTAGCAATACTCTTTTTTTCATTTGAGCAGCTTGTGTCATGTATACTTACGAGTTTTCGATTTCCGTTATGACTATATAAGAATTGGGTCTTATAGATATAGTCGCGTAACTTCCGAAAGTGGAGTTGGGGTACGATACTAAAAGCAAAATGTGTGATTAGTATGTAGTTTCTCTCTCGATAAAGCGGGCCTCGCTAATTAAATAAGGTATAATACTTGTTTCTCTAGCTTACCGAGTATGCTACTTATCATTGCTATAGGTTTATGATCGCCATTTCCAGACAGGACGTTTACAGCAGTTTGGTGAAGACGACTTAATATTTTGCGTGAGTAAAAGAGGGCGTACGATTAATCACGTGAGGATTGTTGTTATTAGGGTCCGGTTCATTTCATCGACAATCATTTCACCGACCCACCATACAGTCCAGACCTTGCTTCTTGTGATTTTTTCTTATTCTTTTGAATAAAAAAAGAACTAAAGGGAAAGAGATTTGATAAGGTCGAAAACTTGGCAAGGGCTGTTCAGGCAGTTGTTGAAATCCCAAAGAGGACTATGAGAACTCTTTCCAGAGTTGATGAAATCGGCTAGAACGATGTATAGAATTTAATGGAGAGTACTTTGAAGGAATGAAGTAGTTGTATTGATAATTATTACAACAGTTCTGGAAATAAACGTCCACGCGCAAAACTTTCCCCACGTATCCCGATTTTCTAAAACAGATTTTCAATAGGTTTATTATTATCATTAGCATGTAATTAATTTAAGGCGACTAATCATTGCCTATGCACTATCCCAAACTCGATCTCAAACAATTGAGTACAGTCTTGAACAATTATAGTGTGATATGAAAGTAAACTCTCTCTCAAAATAAATACAAGCAGCTCCAATCATATTATTATTTGATTTAATCAACTAGTAAGTCAAATGCAAAAATGTTACACGGTGCAACTTTTGCGTAGCAGTTATTACATGTGCTGCATGATCCAGGCTATATCTGCCGTTAAATGTTACGCTACTGACGGACAAACATTCCGATTGTTAGATCGGTAGATACACGTATTAAATAGTTTAGTATATTCATTCGTTGGAGAGATAGTATAATATCGACTGAGCACCCTCATCTGTGGAACACTGGCCAAACGTTATTTATTTTTAGTACTTACTAGTTGAATGCAAACTTGAATCTGTAGATAACTAGATAAGCATTCAAGACGAGCACAATCCCAGTTTATTGATCGTCTAAACGTAAAACAAAGAAAATAATGTTTAGCCTCAGTCAGTAACAATTATCGTTAAAGGGCTCAAGTATGATAAGGGGATTTACACCGTTGAATTGATTATTTGCATGTGTCCAAATCATAAACCTCTTTAAGGTGTTGTAAGCACAAGTCTTTCAAAAACATCATGATCGATTTCCTTACCTTATCATCATCATCAACGTAACAAAATTATTTTTAGATTGCATTATCTCAACAATCGACTTATCTCTTGTTCTAGACATCAAACGATTGTACCTTTCACACACACAAATTCTATCTTTGATTTGCATGAAGAAAAGATGAGATCGTGCGTTTGTAGATCGGTATTCGTGGATCGGTATTCATGGCCTGGGTACGAAAGATGAGGACACAATTAATTGACCAGTATAGTGTAAATCAATTCAACCTAATAATAGTAGCCTTATAAATACTTTATTAAGGATGATGTGTAACATGTGTTACTTAATAATAATAATTAAGCGGAGTATGAAAATACTTAATATGGTTAGTACATAAAAAGTCCAAACTAACCAAATTGATACTCGCGACATGTATTTCGTTTAAAAAACAGTGCATATCAATTGTACTTGGTGGTTCACACAGCTATACATATTGATCATTCACAGCTTACGTTCCTTTGAGAGACAGCATAACATTGAGTGAGCACTCTCATTCGTGTCAGGACCAAAGAACGCTGATAGTTATTTATTTTTAATATTACTACTCTAAGCATAGAAGCCCGATTCCTTCATACGTCATAATCGACTGTGCGGTGGCGTCGAAATGCAAAATAAAAAAATTTTTCCATGCATTTGTCATTCGATTATCAACCCTTGAAATGCAGCATTCATGAACAAGTTTGTGCAGCAAATCTATTGCCGAAAATTTTGTTCGGAGATCTAAAAATACTCATTCTATTTTTATGAACAACATGCTGTCTCGACTTTTTTGTGAAATCTATATTTAAATTAATAATTACTTTAGATCGGATTTTGTGCAAGTCTAGATCTAAACCCGATCTTTGTTGATGTGTTTCATTCGTTGTATGTGCATATTTTTTCCATAAGTAATTTCGCCACTAACCCTTCAATTATCATTTCTAGTAACTTTCGTGGGGATCATATACGAGTGCAGTCATTGAAATTATTTGTTTCAACAATAACAGCATTATAACACAAACGCTGTTCTTTTTTTATCAATAACGCATCAGATTGCAAGTAAACTTATCCACTGTTCCCTGCCGCATTGATTGATAATGGTTAAGGGGTAACACCTTACTTGTGTACGCGACCTTTGTTTTCCCAAAGCCTTAAAATAATAACGTTGTACTGCTTACTATATTGTGAATGCGTTTGTTAACTGTCATGTGCATATTCTGCAGTTTAAAATACTATTTAATATTGTCTGCTTTCTAGCTTCCACACAGTTATATAAACAAGGGGACCAAGCTCTTCTTCCACATCGCATCGACCACAGCGACTCCGACAAGTTTACAAGAACAAGGCTTACGGCAATCGATCCATCTTATAACGATACAGTTTACTTTTCTACTCGAAAACAAAAACAACAATCCATCAAAATGAGCAAAATCGTCTGCTTAACCTTTCTCTTGGCTACCCTTCTTACTGTGATCTCTCCAACCGCTGCTGCCGGACTTGAGGAAAGGTGGCGCAATCGCCATCACAATCGTGATTGTTGTCCAGTCGCTATCTGCGAATTCGAGAAGGGTGATTCCTTTGATCACCGACGCCACGCTAAACGCAATATAAACCCGTTTGATGGATTTATTCAATTTACAGAAACGTTTAACAACCAGCTGTTTGTCTCCGGATTCTTGGATGCAGAAAACTTTAAGAAGGATACCACTGCTGGTGCTCAAGGCCTTGACGTTCACGTAGCCGATTGTAACCTCAAAAGTCTTGATGTCGGACTTGATTTGGACGAAGTTGATGACATTTTTGATAGGCCTTTCGTTGGCGTTATCCCCAACAAGAAAGTTAGTCAACTTGTTGGCAAATGCTGTATTCTGGCAGATGATAAGCAAAATGATCAAATTATTGCCGTTGCAAAGGTGAAGCAAGCCATAAAGTGTGGGCGTAACAAAAAAATACTCATAAAGGATCTCTAGTTAGCTGATAGTCTTTTCCCTTGTTGTGCTTAACTTTATATTTATTATTACATATATGTTTGTATTTGTAAAGAGCGTTTATCTCGTGCAAAGATTAGAATGTGATAGTATATTTTTGTAAAACAATAAATTTTACTTTGTGCCAGCATAATTGCAATAAACGATCGGTGTATGCGCATTCTACTTTGAAATTTGATAAACTAAACCGTTACTGTATATTGTGCACATAGCAATATAGCTGTGTAATTTTAGCTGTAGATGTCCCAAATAGGAGAATATCAACAAGCGTGATAGTGCTAAAGCTTTCAAATAAATGATTATTAAGTGGATTAAAAAGGGAGGACTAATTACTTTTAGTGAAAAACTTCTCGACAAGGAGAGTTTTTGAAATAAACGATCGAACGAAGGAATGTTACACTCATGAGGAGTGATAGTCAAAAGCACTTTTCATTCACGATCACTAGCGGGTATTGTACTATCTTTAATTTTGCAGTTCACATACAATGGATTGTTTTTTGCTAATGACAGACGACTGCAAAAACTAGCAAACTCTTTCTATGATGAAGGCCTTTGCAGGAAAATTTTTTCATAAATACAGAATATGCCTACATAACAGTGGTTCCGCTCCTTATTTCTAAACCAACAATTAATTTACGTCGTCAGATTAGACTATTGTTAAATTTTGACATTCTATCTTACAGCAGTGAAAGCGTAATCCATTCTTTTTAATATGCCTTGACTGTTTATACATGCTTACTGAACTAAGATTGAGAACATTAATAAAGCGTATTCTCTATCTAACATTGGCTATGGGTACAGTGAACCTTCCATAAATGCACGCCCTCGGGAATGGAGGAAAGCTAGGTGTGCATTATGGAGGGTAAGAATTTGATTGGTTGCACGTGAAATTAGAAATATCATTGGTTAATTATTATTTAAAGAATTGATCCATCGTAGTCTGTTTCATTGCAGTCGTTTTTCTTAGAAGCCTCATTAACACTAATTATTTTGGGCTCAATACTGTCATCGGCTTCTTCGCTATTGCTATCGGTAGGTAAATCTGATTGTTTTCTATATAATTCAACAAGTTCTTCATTGTCAGGAATTACATAAACTTTGTCTTCTTCCGGGTTACTCAAAAATTCTTCAATTGACATAGTATCAGGAAGGTTGAGAGATGTAAGTATTCGAGAGACTCTCCTAGCGTTGGCGTATTGGTTGTATCAGAGTCGGTGGCGGTAGTTGTAGTTTCGTATGATTCCAACAGTTTCGGATTGTTTCTGGTGTGATTTCATCCCAGCTTCTAATAATAAAACGTATGGCTTGCAATACATCCATTTTTAAACTTTTTATGTCGTTTCCTTCTTTATTTAGTCTTTGTATATTATCGGGGTACAGTAATTTCTTTATTTGGTCTTCGTCTATAATCGGGGCACAGTAATTTCTTTATTTGGTCTTTGTTTATAATCAGCGAGTACAAATTTTGTGTGTAATTTCTTAATGTAAACTATCGATATCACGTGAAGTCACGGGCGTGCATTTAGAGAGGGAGGTTTACTATAGTGGGGATTCGAAAAGACCGTGCAGTGCAGAATATAGACGGTGTGCATTTACGTCTAATTCCCAAGTTCGGGAATGAGAAGTAGCGTGCATTTATTGAGGGTGTGCATTTATGGAGGGTGCATTTATGGAGGGTTCACTGTATATGGGCACCGTGTACTGAGGGGAGTCGTGCAATTTAAAACTAATGTCGTAACAACCAGATGTTATGATGCATTAAGTATTAACAGTCAATGCTTAACCACAGAAGCCGAGTTGGTGTCGAGTCGCTTTGCTGTAGATAAATTATTAATAAGCAATCATTAATTGTAATAACAAACTAGTGAGCAGGACAGGAGAAGGGGGAGCTGTATCAGTGAAACAAATGAAATAAAATTAAATAGTTCAAGTTGGAAGTAAATTATAGCAGTTTGCAAATTTTAATTTTTCATCAATAAAATTTTTTGAAAAGGAAAACGAAAACAATCAAATGAATGAATAGATTTAAGTAATTGAATTCACGCACGCTCTCACACCCAACGCGATATTTAACGATAAATGGGTGATATTAAATTATAATAACCAATTTCATGCTTGTACCAATACAGCACCGCCAACATCGCTACTGGGATGGTGCGGTAACGGCGACGGTCCTGGCGTCGGTGGCAATAGCAGCGAACGAACAGGAGTACGAAAGGCGTAGGCTTTGACTCTGTTCTGGTCGTTTTTGCTCAGGTGTTGGAACAACGCTTTTTCTTTTCAATCTCAGCTTAATCTTGCCCAGATGGATTTGATGTCCTTGACTGTAAACACTTGATGGTGCTGTAGATTGATTATGCATCATAATCTCATTCCAAAGAAATTAAATATCAAGCGGTTTATAGGAAGAATATTAGTAAGTTAATGCATTTTCCATTGAGATATCACGGGTCGAAAAATTCAATTGCAGATCGGCGAATTTAAGTAGTATTATTTTTCGACCTGTGTATGTATGACATAAATTTCAAAAGGATATCATTAGCTAATGTTAAATATACAGTCCCCCCCTTAATTCACATCACAGAAAAAGTACTTAGGTATGATGGTTTGCTTCATAAATCTACTCTCAAGGTGAAGTTGGAGAGGATTTGTCTGGACTGATCTAGTCTCTATAATCAAGACTGATACTTGCTCTGCGATATTGACAAAGAGAATGATTTAGTAAAACTGGTGTTTGTTACAGAAGTGTTGACCAATATTCAATTCCCAAAAACCATCGCTCGACGAAGTATTCACTTCAGATAAACAGAATATCTCCGTCGTAAGATATGTGTTGTCGAATACTAATCGAGCATTTCTGTCTTGGTGGTCAAACTTTAAAAGCGATTGGAAGGAGGGCCTTGAAAAGGATATTGAACGTTAGAAATTATCACTTAGATACAGATAATGGATCTTTTCTTACCCAGCATATCTAAACAGCCCTTACTTGTGACCACGTGTCCTTGAGACATATCAATATTGTCGACAAAAAATATTGCTCACCTATGGGCATATTTATGGATAAATTGGTATGATAAGAAAATTTGGAAGCTTTTTGCTCGGTCATCCTATCCAAGAGCCATGCCTATTGCAAGAATTACAGTGATCATTGAATCTCATTGGCGCGTGCTTAAAGATAATCACAAGTATTAGTATAATTATAACAGGCCTTGTTTTGATCATTTAAATTATATTATAACTGAACACTTGGTCTCAACATGACGAATGCTCATCGAGCCAATCGAATTTGGAAATTACAAATCCAAATTTGGCAAAGCATAGCCAAAAGGGGTAATACCATCAATAGCCATGATGGATTCGATGGCTCGATACCATATTTGACGGAAAAAAGCAAACTAATAACATTCTATTTGATAGTGGGAGATTATGTGTATTAAGATATTGACATACATTCGATGTGTTTTCTTATTATCTCAAACACGCTTGTTTAGAAGATATTATTTCAGTTATATAACGCTAAGGAATTGGCGTGATAATTGTTTTCCTTGTTTTTACCATCTGTCAGATGGACTACTGATATTGCTCAAGAGCACTATTTCAACGACTGGAGACAGAAACCGTCGTTGCGTTTAATGGTATTGATAAGATCTGTTGAGGGATGGGATGTAAGAAAGGACAGGATATTCAATTTGCACTTGCTGCGTGTGGATTTGAGTACGAGAATTTTTAGAATAAATTGGATAGCTTGCATTACTATCATAGGGTTTCCATTGTGTTTTGTTGGGTACATGAGTTTCCCTCAATATGCACATGGTATACGCGGATGTTGATATAAATTGATTTGCATGTAGCTTGCGCAGGCGAGTAGTTGATCGCCATTGCGGTATTGATGAAGACCCAAGACTAGTGTTGGAAAATAGAGTATCAGATGCGTTTGCACCGGATATGTCTATTTCTGGAATAGTCAAAATGTGTATGTGTGAACATTTTTGCCGTGGATATTATAAAGAGAACGAAACCACAGCTGCCGCCATTTTTATATCTGTTGAAAAAAATAATGACCTATCGCGTTTATGGCGTTACCCTCCTTAAAATCCAAATTTTTGTATTTCGTCACATAACAATTGTGAAATTTTACATAAATAATAAGAAGTTGCCTAAATAAACATTTTAATCACTCTCTTTTATTCTTTGAAGATACAAACAATTAGCATATAACTCAATCCACTTCCGATTAATTAATTCAACGAGTTATCTCAATTTCAAACATTTGTATCAGAAGTGTCATCAACACTTCTTGCAGCAGTTTCATCGGACAAAATGTCATCTACGCTTACAACATATTCCCTTAAAAAGAACTCCAATGCAAGCTGTCTTTGTTCCAACGCTACAATTTTCTGTTCGCTCGAAAGATTTCTTGAGAACACAAAACCCGAGAACGGAATATTTGAATTGTTGCTATCGTCTTGCTGACTTTTCTTAAATTCCCTTTCATCCCTTAGACGTTCTTCGAGGGTGGACTTAACCCTGGGGTGGATGAACGGCAAATTTTGAATCTTACCCCATGGACCCATTGCATTGGCGCCTGTGAAAAAGAAGAAGAGCAATTGATATAGACGCGTAACAAAACACGTACTTGACAGAAAAGCAAAGTAATAAATCCAAGGAAGTGGATAGAATTTCGTTCACGTACCGTATAAGAATAAATAGATTCCCATTGCAATAGCGTAAATACCACCCACAGCACTGAGGAAATCACTCACCGTCAAAGCGCTAATATTAAGTAGTTAAACATATGTTAGCATAAAGTGTTCAATGATATTAGCAATACTTTTTTTCATTCGAGCAGTTTGTGTCATGTATACTTACGAGTTTTCGATTTCCGTTATGACAACATAAGATCTGGGTCTTATAGATACAGTCGCGTAACTTCCGACGGCGGAGCTGGGGTACGATACTAAAAGCAAAATGTGCGATTAATATGTAGTTTCTCTTTCGATAAAGCGGGACTCGCTAATACAAATAAGTATAATATTCGTTCTTCCAGCTTACCTAATATGCTGCTTATTAATGTTATTTGTGTATGATTGCCGTGTCCAGACAGCACGTTTACAACATTTTGATTAAGGCGACTAAATATTCTGCGTTCGTAAAGAAAGTCGTACGACTAATCACGTGAGGATTGTTATTGTTAGTATATCGTGGAGCTAACGTACCAAAATATAATCATTTCGTTGATTGATATGTTAGAATCCGCTTACCTGGTTGTTAGCGAGTTCGTAAGTGTTACCAAACTCTGCCGTAGACTCGTAATTAGTAAATCCTTTTAAGCGTGACTTTTGAGACGCTGATTGCAAATCAGGTACCGTATCTAAGAGATTTTTTTTTTTTTTTTAATTAAAATTGTTTTTGTTACATAGCATAACGATTTTGCTCATGTATGGAATACATTAATTGTATACCTTTATCAGCAAACAACGCTCCCAGACTAGCATTGCTGCTAATAAACGTTGGATCCATTATATTAACCGCCAAGATAATTTCTGATAAGGCATTTGCATTACCGTTAGGGTCATCAAATACCAAGTCAGATGCATTGAAGCTCGTCAAGTAATTATTGGAATCTGGATCGGAATAGGTGTTGTCGACATACATATTACAATCACCCGTCGCTAAATATCAAATTAACGCACACATTACGCGCGTATTAATATTGTGTTATTAAGAAATAGACAAATAACGTCACTGTTATCAACATACAATCATCATCAAAATAGTGCATTGTGCAGTTGACTGTGAAGTCAAAAGAAGAGATAAAAAGGACAACTGAAAGAAAAAGAGAATGACTTAATATTAAATTCAATATTAGTTTCATTTGCATTAATAGGAAAGATTACGTACATGGGGCAGAAATGGAGCTACTATCGTTTTCACTATAGCTTAAAGTTCTCTCATCTAGGTGCAGCTTATATGCTTTCCAGCAAAAATAGATTAATACGCCTATGTAGCAAATCCATAAAGATATTGTTCTCAACCTTCTGATAGTAGTGAGCTCAGAACGTCGTGAAGGAAATAGGTCGGCGAGCATATTTTTTACTTTCTTTTTTACTGTATTCATTATGGTGGAAATAAAAGGATGCTAATACGGGTAAAGTTCAGATCGTGATAAAATAATATGTAGGAAAGGCCTTTAGAAACCAGCTAAAATCCTCGGTTTTGATCAAAGGGCAGTCGAGTGAGAAAAATGGGTAGAGCCTAACGGAAAATATATTTTTTTTGTTGGACGTGCTAACACCTTTTGCGTTAATGATATTTCCGACTAGAGGGAAAAAAGGCAGGTATTTATAATGATATTTCACAATGCTTGCTTGTTGTATAATTAAAGCCATACACCATTAAATTCATTCAATATATTACCGTATTAAGACCGCCCATTGAATGTTATTGTAATTGCGCAAAATCCGACATCAGCGAGACGGAAATAATTCCGGACACTTTATAGTAGTACAGCAATGTTCTGAGCAATTCATTGGACTAATTTTGGAAAAAAGTGTTAATACTCGTACCACCAGAATACTTGATGGCGAACATGTTTTCAAAGCTTTAATTTTTCTATTTCTTTACACAAAACTTTTAGGATTGTTTCCTTTCTTAGTATTAGGTATTGTATCGTGTTCTTTTATTGAGAACTGAAACACTCCATTTTCCTGTTTGCGTAGTTTTAGAAAACATGTACAAAGTTTACCAAACATCGACAACTAGATCGTTAAGAGTTAACATACGCATATCGGAATTACCACACCGTTTGTTACAATGGCGCAATATTATTTTGCATTAAAACTACATTCTATATTTGCTTCGAGTAAGCAAATATTTGTTTAGTTAAATGTACACATACTGACCAAAAGTATTGGTCACACGATGATGATCGAATAAAATTTTGCCAAGTCGCATTATTTCAAACGTAATTTATTCCACGAAAATCCAACCAAATTCCTAAAACTTTTTTTTGTTTGAAAGCTAAAGAGTTCTGATTT